GACATTTATATTTCATTGCGTATAGTAATTGCTCTGCAGTAAAGCCATTCAAACCAGCAAAATTTTTGCTGTTGATATTTGTTTGTTTTATGCCTGCGGTAATTATGAGTGAAACATCACGTCATCATTGTGTATCAAACAGTGTCACCTTGAGGAAAAAAGATGCATTTCACGAATTTAGTCATCAGATATGGAAATATAGTCGCGCAGGAAAAAATACTTACACATATACATACCTCGGGTCTCTAGCGACCCTATACACTTTTTTACAAAAAATTTATCATTTTACTATTTTTTTCTTGTTATATTGTTTATAATGAATAGATTAAGGAATACTAAGAAAGTCGATGTCTAACTTTAAAAAAATTAAGGAGGGAGAGGGTAGAGAATGATGTCCCGGGTCGCTAAAGACCCGAGGTATGCATTTAAGTGTTAAAAGTACAGGGAAAGGGATCGATGGGAGGTGCTGCGCCACATAGCACTTAAAGATGCAACAAACCAAGTAGTAATTTCAAAATTATTCTGAGAGAAAAGAGTAGGAAAAGCAAGAAAAAAAAAGCAAAACAAAAGAAATAGTGTGGGTGTGCGTGAGTCAACAATTGCCTGAATAAAGTCGAACAAAAGGGCAGAGGCAAAATGCACTGCCTTCGTGTTTGATTTGTAATTACGAAGATTTCTGCAAAAGCCGAAGTGATGAGATGCATGTTTGAGAAAGGCCAGTTTGAAATGGCTCTGACAGCGAAGATCCAGCTGAAAGCTTTAAAATAATTGTATTTCCTCTCCTTCATAATGTGCACTCAAATAGAGTGGGAAATTCATTGGCATCTGATTAAATGTAGAGAACGGCTATAATTGTTGTTCGTTCATCCTCATCGGTTCTTTCTGCATCTTGACCTGCTCGCTATAGGTGCACTATTTCTGGAACATGCCATTTTAGTCTTATGAGAACATTTTTTTTTTTGCAAACTTCTTGTAGTTTTGTCTGCTGAAGACCTAAATGCAAGCTTGCATTTGAACTGATTCACTCTCATATTTCACAACAAATAACAAGCTTCTCTGGAATTTTTTCCCCCCGTGTTTATTATTGACTCTTAGTCTTTCATCAGGACTCACTATCACCACAGGGAGATTTCTTTTTGGTTTTTGAGCTTGACGCAACAGTATGTGTTTTTGTGCAGCGTCTGACACTTCACAGGGTGTCATTTCAGTTGTGTGTATTGCAGAAGGGGTGTTAGGGTGTGAGATAGAAGGGCGCACCCCTGGGAGATGAGCAGTGTGTTCTGAAAATCTGCTTCCCCCATCCTAGCACGGCCGCGGGGGAATCCTGAGCTCTTCAAAGTGTGCGTTGTGGCAGCAAGGGAGCGAGGTGGAAAGCAAGGGGAAGAGAGAGGACTGCTGGAGATCATGACAGTGCATTAAGAATCATTTAAAAGTTACAGACGTGAGAGGGGCTCATCTCTGTCTCTCTCCTACTGTGCGCACTCATTTCTTCCAGCTCTCTTGTAAGCCAACATCACACGGCCTACTCGACACATCCGACATGCAGTGAATGTAGCCACCAAACCAGCCAAAAAAAACCGCAATTACATCAGATTCAGAGGCAATAGTTTTGTGCATGAGCATGAACTGGCTGTTCTCTCTGATCTCTCTCAAAAACCCTGCCAATGCATGTACCTCAACCGTGGCAATTTTCATTACACTAATACATTTTTTTTCCATTCCTTGTCTTGGAATCTCTCCAATTACTACGGATGGAGACACACAACTCACTTTCCATATCAGTGAGTTCATCTGTAATTAGCTCCCTAAATTTTCACTTTCTTCTCCCACTACTTTTAGCTCCGAGTAATGGAAAGAGTCGAACTGGGAGGAAAAGAATGAGAAAAATAATAAAAAAATTTAGTAGTTTCTTCCCAAGGATTAGAATTCCCATCATTAATAACCTCTAGCCTCCATCAGTAATACTTTCACCATCTCAGCTCACCATTTCCAGACTATTTTCCAAGCCTCTTTATGCCTTGTAATTGGTCCTGATCAATGATTTTGCGTAGGACACTGATGCATTTAGATCCAATTCACATCACAGCTCTTTTACCTTTAGCAGTGCCTTTTCTAAGAAGGAAATGGAGCTTATGTGTAATATCAATGAAAATAGAGCGAGGGAGAGTGAGAAGTGACACTTTAGGTTTGATTGAAAAGGTACAATGAGGGCTGGGCTAATACATCAGGTCTCATCTAGTTATGAATAAGTGAAAACAAATGTAATTTGTGTTAAAGCATGCCGTTTTTCCACATTGGAGTGTGCATGCTTTTAGGTTTATTACAAGGTAAAATATGACTATATCCATATCAACGTGCTTCTGACAAGCCTTACTTTTTGTTTATGAGCTGCAAGGTATCCATGGACTTTCTCGGCCCTGAGGAACGGCACGCTGTGAACGGAGAACCTCACATCCAGAGTCCTGTGCCGCACTTCCACCAGACTGAAAATGTTGATGTCGTCTGCCCCCACAGACAGCATGTCTGACAGGAAGTCGCCCAGCAGCTCGTACCTGCTCTTCAGATTGCCACGACGTTCCATGAACTCTGTGGCGCAGATGTCTGTCAGAGACACAAACATAAATGCATGACACATAAGGATAACAGAACTGTATAAATTTGACCTAAGCTACAAAAAAAAACAGCACCATTCTTAATACAGCACTGAACTGAGGTGCAGAGCTCATGAAAAATGCATGGTCACGTTTTCCCTCGTCAACACATTTCCTTGTCATTAAGTGAGGTTAGTGCCTGTCAGTGGCTGTTCGCACAAACTCCAGCTGACATGCCATGTCAAAAAGTCTGGGACGAGAGCTCAAACTACTGCATGCGGCAAGTCTTTGTCACCATGGTAATAGGTGCCTGTGCTTTATGGTCACGGTTCCCAGCACGTCATGATGAAGCTGGCCACGGCCTCTGAGCATTGTAGGCAAATCGTGACACTTCAGCAACCATCTGACCATCGATTTTCCTGTGCTGGAGGTGTGCTTTCCTCCCAATACCCAGTGGACTATTCTAATTGGGATGCTTAGCCTACAGTTTGGGACTGTGAGGGTGGTTGAACAGTGGCCCCAGGGGAGGTGTTAGACCAACTGAGAGAGATCCCAAGCTCAGTCTGTCCCCAGGCTGAGTCAGGGTCCCTTGGGGCCAGTGCTGGAGAGTGTCACGGGTGTCACTGACACTTCACAACTCACAAAGGCAGAGGGGCATGTTTGAGGAAATTGGGGGAGATTTTACAGCTTTAATGACAACAGTGACATGGAAACATGCTCTGGATTTTGACTTGTTGTCAGTGACTTTCCTCTGTGAACCCCTCACCCTTAAGAAAATATAAGAAACTATAGTTTCTCACAAAGTGACTATAAGTAACTTTGAAAGTATACATCAACTTATTCTACTAACCCTAACATAACACTCTACTAATAATACAATAAGTTAGTTGACATGTAGTATCAAAGTTACTTATAGTTAGTAGAATGTCTAAAAACATTTTAGAATACCTTCCCAATATGCAAAGTTGTGTGTATAAGAATTTTATATAATAATTATTTTAAAGAAATTGATACTTTTATTCCGCAAGTCTGCATAAAATTGATCAAATGTGACAGAAAAGGCACTTATAATGTTGCAATTTTTTTTATTTCAAATAAATATAATACTTCATTGATCAGCACAGCTGTTTCCAACTGATAATAATAAGAAATGTTTCTTGAGCAGCAAACCGGCATATTAGAATGATTTCTGAAGGATCAAGTGACACTGAAGACTGGAGTAATGACTGACAAAATTCCAAATTATTTTAAATATTTCACAATATTACTGTTTTTGACTATTTTTGACCAAATAAATGCAGCCTTCGTGAACATAAGACATTCTTTTAAAAATAAACTCTTGCTGACACCAAACATTTGAATAGTAGTATATACAACACACTTTTCAGTTGTATAAGCTTTAATAATCCTCAGAGGACACAACATATTTAATTGAACTAGAATGAAAATTATGGGCAAAAAATACAGTCAGTTCAACATAGTGTAATGTTTTCCCAAGGTTTGTGTTGTTGTTCTTTTAAATTTGTTGAAATAGTTTCCATTCTGACAGCTAAATAATGACACCCAGGTACACAACATATTAAATGGACACTACTAATACTCCTTAAGGCCTTGTTTTTGTTTTGCGTCAAATTACATGTGGTGTCTATGTGGTGTATAAATTCTGTAACTTAAGCGGTGTTTGTGTCTGTGTTTTACTCTCGCAGCCCTATATCCCCACTCTGACGGCGGTCTTTCAATTCCCTGTTCAGCATAGACCTGAATTTTCCGCGAAGTGAATCATTAGTGCTTGAAGACTGTCAATCATGGAGGTTTAGGTGGGGGCAAGGAAGGAAACTGTGATTAACTTTTGGGGGGTGCAGGAAGGGTGGCTGTCTGCTCCCATCAGGAGCTGTGTGTGAAGAGGAGACTCATCATGACAGCTGGGAACAGCCTCACACCTGGCTTTGATCCAAGCCCAGATCAAACCTGCTTCACTTCCCACGGGCATTAAGCAATGTATGTGCTTAACACCTTTTCTGGATGTTAAACACACACACACACATTTTTATTCTTATGAGGTTTATAGTTTTTGTAACCCTGTTTACAAAATTTGGCATGTCTAAACACAGTTGTTTAATTTTGCAATAGCAATAGGAGGTTGACCTATATTTTATTCATTTAAAACTAGCTAGGTTCACATGCCAGGTTGATTTTATTTTAGATAATACTTTATCAAACATTTCTAAGAGATCCCACAACAATATGAAATAAATAATTAAACAAACAAACAACCAGAACAACTGTGGAACACCAAAGTGTACTGCGTTTGGTGGAATTGTGCCACATGCATGCATGCATAACGAACGAACAGAAAGTAAAATACACGTGTTTAAAAAGGAAAGAATACATGTATACAAATAGGTGCATTTATAATGCAAGTGTTTTTAAAATTCAGTGAAACCCACTCTGAGACAAAGAACCAAAGAGAATATTTATACTCATAAACAGATGGAAACACACACACACACACACACACACACACACACACGTCTAGTTTGCTATCCTTGTGGGGACTCTCCATAGGCGTAATGGTTTTTATACTGTACAGACCGTATATTCTATTGCCCTACACCAACCCTACCCCTAAACCTACCCCTCACAGGAAACTTTCTGCATTTTTAGATTTTCAAAAAAACTTCATTATGTGTGATTTATTAGCTTGTTTACCCGTGGGGACCTCAATTTAGGTCCCCACCGTGACACGAGTCCCCATGAGTCTGTGTGTATTCAGGTTTAAGTCCCCACCAGAATAGAAAAACAGGTACACACAGAGAGAGAGAGAGAAAGAGAGAGCTTAAATTAGAGGTTTAGCTTTTGTGGCTTGGGGACAGTGTGGCTGGTCAATATGTCTTTGTGAATTGGTGAGCTACCGAATTAGTGCCAATATTTTCCCAGTTTCTCTTTTTAATGATACTTCAAAGTCCTGTTGGGGTGGAAAACTCAGGGTTAGCCAGGGAGATGAGGATCAAAACATTAGACATTAAAATTTTTTTAAAGATAAGTCCAAACTGGCTAAGCAGTCAGAAGCCTCAAAAGTTCAACATCAAAAAGCTTTTCATGTTGCGTGTCCTGCAGAATGTGGGAGTTTATGTATAAATGTGTATATGTGTGTGCCCTGTTTGTGTACAGACAGAGCAGAGGTTATGGGAATAAGCTTGTGTGAGTTTGTGCGCACGTGTTCGGTTATCTCCATGAGCTAGCATGGGTGTCTAAAGAACTTCTGCACATACTTTCCCTCATATTTCACTTTACAATCAGTTCACTTCCAGAGATGCACAGAGCAAGCTATAATCTCAAAGCAGCAGCATTAAACAGGCTTTACGTCTCTCCATTGCCTTCAACATTTGCTCCTGAAATGGGATTTCAAATGTCAAGGAGGCAGTAAATAGTACGAAATTCAAACTTTCAGTTAGACCAGAATTCAATGCATGTTGAGACAGGGCTCCAGAGAAATAAACATCTTAAGTATTTGGCAAGAACATTAACCCATACCTCAATTGACTGATGCCATTTTCATGTGCATTTTAAAAAAATGCCTGAAGTACTGACAGATGCTGACGTCCCCTTCTGAAACCGAAAGCCTTGTTTTGAACCTTGTTTGTTTTTTGCAAACTGTTGCAATTCTAGGGACCATAAAACTCGAGGTGTTAAATATAAAATTCCAGACTCCCCAAAGGACTTAAGGTGACTGAGTGTGAAACAATTCCAACACTAGGCTAATGTCCAATTTGCCAAACACTGTCGCATAGCAACTCACCTCTAAATAAATGCATGTTTCTTTTCTGAACAGATATTTGTATACATATCAAACTCCTTAAGACTAAAATTTACAGAATCATTATAATTTCTCCCTAAATACTGCCCTTAAAAGCCTAGCTCATCATCACTGTTAATTAGAGAGAATTGTGCACTCTCCTACTTGGCCTTTTTGTGTAGAATATAATTGCTGAATATAAAACAATAATAAATAAATAATAAGGGTGTAATTTATCCATACTCATGATTATTTTACCATGAACACTTCCAGATAAAATAAGTTTCTTTAAATAATGCCTTTAATTCAAATTTTTTTGGCAACACAATATCCTGGAGGGTTAATGGTAAACCGCCACATTATTTAGTTTAAAGACTAAACAGACATATGGCACAGATATCTAATTGCACAAACCACGGTAGATTATCGGATAAAACTATGAAACCGCAATAAAAGTAACTCAGATTGTTTTTAATGCCACATATAATCCTACTTCAATTAGGGATTGTCAGAGATTATAGAAAGGAGAGGCATTTACATACACACTGTGGTTACAAGACATTTGCAAAGTTATTTGTGAAGTCACAGTAAGCAGTAATAAAAACTGCTTGCTGTTGTTCCATGCGTGCCATAAAATCAGTTGCATTGCTGGAATCTAAGAAAAATCTCTTTATAGGCTTATGAGTTTGCTATTTTTTTTTTGTGCTATTGCATTTTATATTCTGTCTTTCCATCTCCCACAATACCTTTTCCCCCAATTTATTAGTCTTAAAACTACAAAAACCTCAGCTATAGTCCATTTCATTTCAGCTCAGTCTTGTTTTCATTAAAACACTGACTGTCATAATGTCACCAAAGTCAATATGCCCATGAGTTTTACTGCTATAACATGGCACACAATCAACACAGATCCTGATTCCAGGCCCAAACCATCAAACCATTTTAATGTCTCTGACTGAAATAAGCAGTGGACACAGACTCGGCTCAAGTGTCAACAGTGTTGTATACAGAGTGCCATTCATTATCAGTCAAATTAGTTTCAGAGCCTTTAACTATAATGATTTACATTGGAAGTAACATTTACAGCAGCATTACATCCACACTATTTAATCAATTTGCATTCCAAAAATACTAAATAATATAGTTTTACTGTAGGTTTTAGTTCTGCACAAACAAAATGATGCATCAGAGCTGCCATTTTCATAAACCTGAGC